AAGTTTATCTAATGTTACTAACACTTCCCCAGACCTTGCCATTACTTGTTATAGGCTTGCCTGAGGTTGTCAATACTTGCTTCAAACTTGCCCATAATTGCCAACACTTGCCCGTACTTTGCCAACACTTTTTACAAGTTTGCCAACATTTGCCATGGGCTTACTTAGGCTTGCTAATACTTGTCACAAGCTTTTACAAACCTTGCCAACACTAGCCTGAACCTTGTCCACACTTGCCACAACTAAACCCAAAGTTGCTAACACTTGCTACGTGCTTGCTCGATGTTGCCAACTCTTGTGATGGGCTTGGTTGAGGTTGTCAACACTTGCTACAGGCTTGCTTGAGGTTGGTGTAATAATTTTTTGTTGTAACATGTATAGAATGTAAAATAAAAATTTCTTTTAACTAGGTCAACAAATAATTTTTATTTAAAAATTACAAATTAAAATTTTAAATTAAGACCATCTAAATTAGAGAGTCTACCTAGATTTCAAAGTAATTATTACTGTGATTAGCATTCAAATCAAACCCAAAATTAAATAAGCAAATAACAATCATACTCAACCTCTCAACCTTGCCCCATGTCTCTATGTTCACACGTCTAAGGACTACTTCATCAAGAGCCAAAGCTCAACAATGGAACGTTGAAGACACCTTGTCGTAATGTTAATATCCAATGTCCACTAAACCATCATATTGGTTATTTGGGTAGACTTTATTTGTCGTTATATTATATTCTTCCTATTATCTACCATTATTTTTTATTTTCTCAAAAAAATTGATTCTGCTGTGCAACTGCTTGGGGGACACTGCAACTTTGAAGCAACTCTATCAAAATTTAACATCATCCTCAGTTTTGGGTAAAATCAAAGTTGTGCAGAAGGAAGAAAACTTCAAGGAAGTGAGATATCATGATGGGGTTTATTATTGTTAAATGATTAGTGCATTGATTTAATATGATGTTGAGTTTTTCAATTCAAAGACCTTTCTGGCTTTCCCCTTGGTTGGTGAGAGGGCCAAAAACAACTTGGTTTCTTTATTAGTAATTTTTTAAAATAAAAAAATAAAGGTTCTTCTACTTTGTAGAATGTGATGGTGGTACTCATACTTCGATGCAAAAGGGGATAAAATCCTTCAAGCCATCCCTTTCTGCGTTCTTTAAAAGCCACATTCATGGGAAGCAATGCCAAAAATCTGCAGATTACGAAAAAGCGGAATGACTAAAAGCAAATGACCTTACAAGCTGAATCATCAGTTATTGTTCAAAAGGCTCAATCAGTTAAGTATTAATAATCATAATCTAAAGAGTTCCAAAATAATACGGAAAAGAAATAACAAGAAGTCCAGGAATTAGTTCCAAAATAATATGACAATATGAGTGAAAATGTTTATGACTTAGATTCGGTCAAAATGGTAATATTTAAATATGTTGATAAGTTTGATTCAATTTTAAAAGTTTATTTCATGTTTTCTCTTCAATGATTTTTAAAGAGTTGTCTCGCTACCTCATCATGTACTTAATTTAGTTGATAAGGGAATTGTACCAGTTTGGTCAAACAGGTCTTATGTTTGATTTCTAAATTAATGTAAGTTGATAATAGATTTTTCTACCTAAAAGAGTCCCTGCTTGGCTCGATTAAAATTAGTTTAGACCTTATTAAAGTTCTTTTAACTTGATGGAGGATGATAGACCCATAGTGAGTTCTTCTCTTATTATGTTTTTGTTTAATCACATGCATGCAGCTTATTGGTATTAGTGACTTTGTACCACACTAGAATTGAAGAAGGTCAAAAAAAAAAAAAAACAATGGCATTAAACACCTTCCCAAAAAAGGATGTTGTTGGTTCAAATTTTGGGTGAGTATGTGCGAATTCTCCTCCTTCATGGTACAAAAGGTTGTAATGGGTGTATTTGTGTAATTATTCTTTTGAGGGAAAAATGCAGCTTATCAACAAGTGTTAGGCATGGTGAAATAAGCTATGACCACTTAAGTACAAGGTTTTAAGTCTGAATCTGTGCAAAAAATATCTTTAAAAAAGCTATCATTAATTAAACTCAATAATACTCGTTATATTGTGAGGAACCAGTTCTTTTTGCTAGAGTTAACTTTTGATGGTCTTATGATCCATCTCATTAATGCAATAGGTTCAAGTATTAAACCATCATGTAGCTAAAGGGGGAAGATATTTATTTACATTGAATCTTAACTAGGCCAGAATAAGACCTATAAGTGGTTGTGACCTTGTCTTATCCATAAACATTCAAGTTAATTACTCATCATGCTAAACAGTAAACACAAAATTATTATTGATAATTATATTTTTTATCATGTAATAACACACACAAAAATATTAGTATATTATATAAATTCTAATCTTATTAGTATATTTAGATTGTTGTATATATTTCAACTATTAAGACAATAAAATTTTAATACATTATAAATTATAAATTTATATTACAAAATCAGACCAGCCTACAGTATGAGTTGGTCAAGGTAAAATTGGATTATTTTTAAATTTTAAATTATAATCCAATTCTCTGTTCCTTTTTTTTTGGGGGAGGGGAAGTGGGTCAACCCAATGGGTTGGACCCATATTTTCACTTCCATTTATTTATTTATTTTTTATTGGATTAATATTTCTTATAAAATAGATTAGGCCCAATAGGCTAACCTCCAAAAAAAAAAAAGGAAAATTTCGTCAAAATATAGAAACTTTAATTTGATCATTTTCATTAAAAAAACACTTTAATTTGATCATTAAAAAATTGTAACTCAATTTGACATGCAAAAGAAGGTTTTGAATATGTGACCAAAAACAATGAGTTGATGTGGAGAAATTCCACCAGCAGCCCACTGCAACACAGCCCATTTCTGCTTTCCTAGCTCTAGTTTATGGCAGGACCATGAAATCAAACTCATGACCACATTTGGAAAGGAATCTAATGTATTCCTTCCCCTGGCAAACAAAAACATTGCTTTGGCCCAAGAAAACCTGAGATGCGCAGGAATATGAGACCTTGAACCAAGCAGCTTTTATGAGACAACTCAATATTCATCAAATATTTAAGCCAGAAAACCAAAATGAATCTTTTTTAAGCAATAACTACAGTGAGTCGTACAGTTCACGTCTTGTAAGAAGTGAAAATTCTCTTCTAAGAATAATGAAGTTACAAGAAATTAACTTACTCAATCTGACTTTTTCAAGCCAGCGGATCTCATTCATATATCAGGTAAGGTGCAAATCTGCTCTTGAAATTTCCTTCTAAGAATATCTTATATCTTAAAGTATTTTTTAGTATAGTTTTTGCCCCAACATTTTTTATTTTGGTATAATATTGTCCTATTATCACCCTTTAACCGCTTTGACTATTAATTTTGAAAATTTGATCATTTTGTGTCCCCTTGGCAACCGCGTGAGAGTCCATTAACCAAACTTTTTTTTTTTTTAATTTCTTTTTCTTCTTCCTTCCATTATTCTTTAGAACCACTTAATCGCCTTCTTCATCCACCTTTCTTAGATAAATCACAAATTAATGGAAACTCAAAACCATATTTAGATCGGACATAGATTCAGATCAAACTAACAAACACTTAATGCTAAACTCGGATCTAGATCAAACTCTCAAAAGGAAAAAGCAATAAAAATTGAAAATCACATCTAAAGAAATCATATGGTATTGATTTGGAAATCATATTTAGATTTAGACTTATATTTTGAAACCATAACTCAGATTTAGATTTATGAAATGAATCCTAGAATCAGATTTTCGAAACCAATTTCTTCTTCTCATGCATTGGAGTCAAATTCATTAAAACAACATCTAGGACAAAGAAGACACATCTCATTCTCATCGTCGTCGGCATGGAGGAAGCTCTCTCATTCTCATCGTCGGCGTCAGAGAAGAAGGAAGCATCTCGTTCTCATATGCAATAATATGTGACAAAAAGAAACTTCTTCTACAAACCAGAAATATGGGTGGTCTAACTGGATCCCGAAAAAATTCAAAAATCAAGAAGAAAACAATATTTCACTGTTTCAACACAAATCCAAATTTGAACCCATAAGACAAACTCATTTAGAAATATAAATTAATGGATTCAGAGAAAATCATACATGTACAAGTCAAGCACTCAAATCGACATCAGTCAAACCTAAAATCAAGTCAAATAAATTTTGAACTAGAAGGGAGAACCTTCAACCCAAATAGTGGCATGGAAATCTTCAGCATCGATACTTCAAACCATAGGGGAGAACCTTTAACCTTCAAAGTCAAACAAAGCTTGGGGCGTGGGTGATTGGAAAGGGGGATGACGAGGCAAGGAGGGAGCCAAAATTGAAGAGAGGCAAAGCAATAGTGGCTTGGAGTGATCAGAATCAAAGCGAAAAAAGGTGTGGGGGTTAATTTGAGAAAGCTCAGGTGGGTGTCTTAGCTAGACATCTGAAATCCCTAGATCCATAGGTTTTGCTTGATTTGGTGATGGATGGAAGAGATGAGTGGGTTCGTGAAGGTGGAAGCCAAGGAAGAAGAAGGTCAGGCATAAAGGTAGAAGTCAAGGAAGAAGAACAGCCTCTCCAACTCCATTGACATATCGTCCACCTTCGTGAAGCTTGTTATAGATTCTAATAAGGTCCTGAACCAAGGATCAACATCTCCACTTTCTCAAACGAACACTGTGCCAACTCATATCAATGACGGCATGAGCAATTAAAAGAGGTGAGGTTTAACAAACGAGATTTGGGTTTGGATCATGAACATGATCCGAGTTTGAAAGAGGGAAGTGAGAGGGGCAGAGAAGAGATGGCTAGAATAACAAGTCATCTAAGTTTCAATCCTTTTTTTCTTTTTTCTTTTTAATTTTTAATTTTAAAAAATATGCCTTTTGATTGCAAAATTAGAATTAACGTTCGAACTAGTAGTGAACTAGGTCAAACCTAATAGCAAGACAACGTTGTACCATTTTCAAAAACATTAGGATGAAATTACACCAAAAAATATTTTAGGATGAGATACACCTGATTAAAATATTGAATGCAGATTTGTACTTTAACACTTCATACATTGGTAAAAGAACATGGATCTCAAGACTAACATGACATAATGCATGACATAAACATTTGATGTATTCTTTTTCTGGACATATAACTACCTGTCTAAAGCATGACTAAGCTACATGTACGCGCCTAAAATTCCCCGTTGCACTGCGTCCATTTGTCCAACTCCAGATTTCTACTTATTGAGCTTCTACAGAGGGGGGAAAACTGTTTCTTGGGTGTCAAGGAATCTTCCTCATGAGTCAGGTTACAATTCCTTCCTGTATATCCCAAGTCATTACCCTCAACTGCCTGAGACAATTTACAGATTTGAGTCTCAGAGTTTAGGAATTAATTGATATGCCCATATTTATTTAGTTCGTCATCGATGGCAGATCTTCAGTTCCCATTCTGCAACTGGAGCAAATCTGATCTACCACTGCCAGGAGCGAACCCTACGGATTATACGCGGCTGCTTTTGCTTGTCAACAACGGGAATAACTCTTTCCATGAGCTGCATGACAGTCAAACAGGTCAGTTGCGAGCCAATTAAAGGAGACTTTTTGATAGCAACTCTATGGCTTTAGGGTTAATTTAGTTGTGAATGACATAAATCCCTGAATAGTGAATAGTAACAGCGTGAACTGCTCAAAAAAAAAAAAAAATCTTGGTTGAATTATTCTGTATCTCTTAAATCTGCTTAAGACATCGAAGGAGCAAATGAAAACAAAGAAACTGGTACTCTGGTAGTGCCAGGGGAGATGGCATTGCAAAAGTTTCTAAAGTTGATATTCCATATGGTAAGCATATTTGATGAGGCACCACGATCGCTTCCAGCATAATCATGACAAGAGTGAAAATCATGAATCAATAGGACAAAAAGAATGGTTTACAAAAACAAAACATAATAAATATGTAAATGTGACCATCGACGTTGAGGTAGCAATGACTTTAGAAGAAACTAGATATTGACACCTTACCCAACCAGTAGAAACTACACTTGGGGTATTAAATCAGTGAGGGAAAAATTCATCAGAAAACAGAATAGCAAATCACTACCTGCTTGAATCTTTTCTTGGTCCTCTCAACCTGCACAAAAATCTTTGTCAGCAGTGACAAAAAAAAAAAAAAAAGAGTTTAATAAACTCTGGTTGGAAAGATGAAAGGCCCGAGGGACCCGTTAAGTCCAAAAAAATGAACAATCAAATGAATAAAAAACGCTCATTTGAGAAGAAAAAGATATTAAAAAACAGAATAATGGATGTAGATCCTCATTGGTGTTAAAAGCATCACTGAGCATGATAATTTATTATTGTCTGTAGTCAGTATATAAAAAGACCGTTTCTATTGATCCTAATCAGCGATTAATCATGACTACAAAATTCCTAATAGACAAAAACACTGATCTCAAATGTCTGATAATTTTTCCACACACAGTGCACGACCTCCAGTGGAAAGAAAACTAGTACCAAGCTTAGGAATCCATCAGCCAGTATAACCTTGCTCACAAAGCAAAACCATACTTTAACTATACGGGCAAATTCTATTTATATTGAAATCACTTGGAAGAGGACTTGTCAACTCAAAGACTAATAAAGCCTGAAGCTGCAATACCATATTTACACAAATTTGGACCAAAATGGAGACTAATATATTTCCCAGAACCACGCCTTGCGAGCAAAACTACCCTAATTCAAAGATTGGGTATAGAGGAGAAAATAGGATGAAGGCAAAGAGTTGGGGGTAAATTAATCCATCAACATATAACAATGACAAAAAAGGTTATATAAGAAATTATTATCTTTTCTACATGACTCTGAGAACGCACATCGCTTTCAATGAAACTTGTGGATCACATAAACAACTACAAAGCACACGAAGATTCAGTATAACAAGCACATGAATGATTTTACATAAAGCAGAACTGACTGCTATTATAATGCAATACAAAATTAAAGGCTCCCCCCCCCGGGGGGAAGGGGTGACACTGTTCAGAAATTAATTGCAAGCATAGCATGTCAACAGTTATGAAATGGACCACAATGCAGCACCTTTTCCCTCATAAGCAGCTCATTTTCCTCCTCTAGTCTCACCGCTATAGACTCCAATTCAACTTGGTAAGCCTGAAGTCCAATACTCAAAAACAGAACACTCAACAGTTACTTCAAATCATACATCCAAAGGCCGCAAACGAAAAACATTTCTCAAGCATACCTGCTTTCGTTCCCTAGACCTTGCTGCGGATTCTCTGTTTTTAATCATCCTCCTTTGCCTCTGCAGGGCAGCCTTATCCAACGGCTCCAAAACAGGACGCCCTCTCTTATTCCTCTCTCCCCCACCTCCCACCTCCACTCCATTACCGAACCCAACTACCGACCCTTCAACTTTATCCAATGACTGAAACGAGGTTGGGTTACTAGAATCAAACGTAAAGATACCCCCACTCACCTGCTCGGTGGGGGCCACCGGTATCTTCACATCATCGTCGTCGTCGTCCACAGCCCCAGCCTTGGCCAAAAAATCTTCTAGAGTCATCATTTCATCCAGTGCCTCCTCCTTGCACTCCCTCCTATCACCGGAAATCATATCCTTCCAAACATCATCCATGGTTCTCGATACATTCAGTGCCCCACCACCATCATTGCCGTCAGCAGAGGTCGCGGCAGCGATGGCATTGACCGGCGTCTCCATTAAGGTTATTTGGGCATCTAGGAGGGTAGACTCCGTGGTAGGCCCGGAATCGTAAGCATCGCGAAGAATGCCTTCGACGGACATCAAGCCCAAATTTCCTCTGTTAACATTCTTATCAGGTCTTGTAGAAGTAGAAGCAGCAGCAGAAGACCGTCGCAATAGATCCGACTTTCTTGAATTTGACGATGCCATCAAATTCCGCTACCTCGTCCCGAAGAGACTGCCTTGTCGGATTCTCTCTCACACACACAGCGCGAACTCTTCGACCTTCTCGGGATTCTCTCTCTAGGGTTTGGGGTTTTGGGAATTCGGCGTCCGATGGCAACGGAGGTGCATCAGGGCCCAGGGACTGCAGTCTCTAGCGAAACCGGGAGTAACCCGTAGACCGAGGAATTTGAAATGAGTAAACGAGGCATAAGTGATAACGGAGCGTCCGGTTCCCAATCGAAGGCCAAGTTTCTTTCTTTTTTTTTTTTTAAAATACAATTATTAATCCTTATAGTTTTATTACCAAATTTTAATTTTAGTCATAATAGTTTCAGGAAAAAATTATAAAAACTTGAAGAATAAATGTCATCTAATCTTGTTAAAATCATAGAGATTAAAAAAATTAAAAAAATATAGAGACTAAAAGTAAAACTTGATAAAATTATAGGAACTAATAATTATATTTTTTAATAGTTAAAAATATTCTCAACTACTAGCTAGAAGCTCTCATTACTTAAACATTTGATTGGGGGTTCAAACCCTGCCCTTCTGTATATAGCAATGTTGTTCATTTCTCTCTTCTTATCCAAATCTCTTACGTTCTTCATATTTTCATCACACGTTATCAATGCAACATTTTATCAAATAAGTTCTTATAACATTTTGGATTTTAAATCTAAAAATTTTAGGTGTCTAGAAGGGTATGATGGTAAAAGTAAGTGAATTTTTTATTAATAATGTTTTTGTAAGACTAACGTAGCTAATGGATCATTAGGTAGCGTTAAGAGAAGATTAGATTGGAGTTCAAGTGGGTCATGACATAGAGAGGCCCAAAAAGTGTTTGGGCATCTCTGTGCCATGCATGGTGATGGATAAGCCATGTGCTGCGGTGCATGTGTGAAAATCTACACTTATTAGTTGCGAATCAGAACAAAAAATCAAAAGAGGGAAAGATAGAACTCGAGGAGGCAACAGTAGACAATCGGTGACTACTATAGTATGATCCTTAGACCCATTTGGAAGCATTTAGGGCAAGATTTATCCTTGGGTAAGCTTCTTACATCTCTCCCTTTCCTTATAATTGAATTTATGAAAGTTTGGGGGTATTTTAGGATTTATTTTTGATTGTTCTTGGATAGTGGCTGAACCTATTGGATTAGATAGGGTCTTGGGGAGTAAATTAAGCCTCTAACTCTAGGTTTTTGGGTTTTCTTTGGATTTGAAATTTTTGGCCTCGAATTGGATGAACCCTAACTAGAATATGGGAGATTAAAAGCAATGTGGGTAATGAAATGGTGTTGTTTAAGTATTTGGATGTTAAATAGAATTAATAGAGTATATTAGGAGTATTTTTAGGGCCAAATCAAAGTTTTGAGTATGATAGGCACCTAAATTTGTGTTAGAAATGGGGTAGTTAGTGTGTGTATTGATGATTAACAATTTGATCTTGTAGATTAATCATTGATCAAGCGTTGTGACACTAGTGGACAAGTGTAAAGCCATTGTTTGACCACAGTAGCCCTTTTAGTGATAAAAAGGTTGAGGTAACCGTATTGTCTAAACTCCCTTCTTATGTGTTTAGATGGTTGTATGGCAGTTATTAAGGATAATACCCTAGTTTTGTATTAATATAGTATTGATATGAAATGTTTATGATTTAGAAACTATGTGAAGTGGAATGAAAAGTTATGTTTTTAGTGTAATGGTTTCCAAAAGCATACTTCTACTTTTAGTATAATTACTTGCGAAATTCTATATGTTAAGTGGAAATGAGAATTTGTAGGAATGATATATTATGAATATATATGGCTTCATTGAGCATATATTTGGTATGATCATTATGAGAGGGTGGGAATTCACCCTAATGTGTTGTTGGGGACATTGTTTGAAAATTCATATAGTCTACTAGCACCGTAAAGTTGCCGGTGTTTAATATTATATTGTTTAGAAGTCTCAGTACTATATATAGTAGATTGGATATCAACATCCCTAGTATTCGTGGACGGGGGGCCTGTGGTTTATAGTGGGTGAAGGTACTCTTGGCTGGGACTGCCTCCTACTAATGGTGAGCTTGGGCTAGTTCAGTCACATGGCCTTGGTCTTATTGAGTTATCAACCCACAAACTCAGCCGAAAGACAAAAGAAGGATATAAGGTGGTGTGTTGATCATACATGTCATACTATCTCTATGTGTGGATAAATGACTTGATATATGTTTATAATGCCACTTCACATACACACTATCCATTCTCACACACGAGTAGTTTGATTAAATTATTAGTTACTGAGTCCTCAACTTATCCTATGGTTATATTTTACAAGTGAAGGCTCTAATAAGGGCAAGGAAAAGGAAAATGCAACCGAACATCAAGGGGACTAGTTAGTAATAGTATATTCCTTCTCATTTATTTTAGTTTTTGTAACGAATTGTATATGTATATGCCAACTTAGTAAAAACATATGTCATTTTATGCTCACTTGCGTGAATTCTATTGTATGATGGGGTATCTCAGCCTAAAATTTGTATGTGTATTGTAATGGTTATGAAAGGTTAATATACTAGTGCAAGTGTTAGTTTTGTGTTGACACATTATTTGTTTAACTATTGAAAATATTATTGTATGTTTGGTACCTTTATGAAAATTTATGTTAAATTAGGGGTTTTGATGGCCATTTTTATGGTTTGAATGCATGTATAGGTTGTTTGTTGTCCATTTAAGTTGGGTCAAGTAGTTCCATAGTTATTGGCACTTGGTTTAAAAGTTTGGACATCTTGGTTGTTGTTTTGGAAAGAAAAGATGCTATTTTAAGTTTGGGTGTCTAAATTTCATTTGGTCTAGTATTTGGTTGTAAGACCAATGCCAATAGCTAGTTGGCTTTAATAGCTACGTATAGACACTTAAATCATTCGAATCAGACATCGATCGATAAAATAGTGCACTCCAAAAGTTGGCTCGAAGTACTGTCATAACAACAGTTTGCTATCATGACATGACAGCATGCACATGCCTTGGCATATTGAGCATTGCGCTGTAGCACGAGGCACATATAGTGATGTTTTCCTCTATGCAGTTCACCGCGGTCAACATAGCACTGCATTGTGGCAGATTGTGCCATTTCTAAAAGAATTTTCCAGATTACTTAACATTTTTATGGGATGATTCTCTTACTTTCATTCTTTTATTTAATTGGTTTTAAACTATAATTTGAGCTCACACAATCTTTCAAAAAGGGTTTTTCTTGGGGTCCCATTTTCTTGAAACTTCTAACCTTTTTATAACCCTTATGTTATGATAACCATTTTTATGGGATTTGATTAATTCTAATTATCATAGTGGTATTCCATGTTTAGTGTTTTGTGTATTTGGTAATGTCAAGGAGGACATTACATTCATGGCATAAATTCAAAGAATTTCTTATTGATGTTTATTGATTTTTGTTCACAACATAAAGATAGTTTGTCCAAATGGAGTGGTAAAATTTTGAAAATTTATTTAAAAGGAATGATTACTTTGTAATTTCAAAAAAGGTATCAATTTTGCTTATTCATGGCCAATTGGAGATTTATATTGAGGTCTAAGAATTTACTTTATTTTGCTCTTACTTTGTGTCATTCATATATTTTATATTTTATCATTTTAAATTTCAAGTTTAGTTCTTATATGTTTGTGATAAGTAATTTGATATATATTAATATTTTATATTTATGTTAATGTTATTGAGTAACCGGCAAGCATAATACTCTTGATCTTGTAATTAAATGACTATAAGCTATATTACTTTTGATAATAGCATTTTGTTAAAGTCCACTTTGTATATTTCAATAAATATTATGAAAAACAATTGTTGCTGCAAATACTATAGCCTTAAAGACTAATGATTCAAACATTTCATAGCACCCAAAAAAAAACACCTTTGATAGTTGTTGGCTTGGTTTTGAGATTCGAGTGTGGACTGTTGTACCCTTTAAAGGTTTACATCCTCAAAATGACTACTAGATCAAATGACTATATGAGTTCTCAAGGTCCTTTATCGTAATTTCCTTAGAGTTCTAAAGCCAAATGAAAAACTAGGGATATATTGAAAAATGTACGGAGTTTGATTGTATTATTAGTAAGCAAATACAATTTAGGCTTTGATCAAAGAGAAAAGCAAAGTAAATAGCCTAAGAATCTTAAGCTGTGAGAGTAGAAAGGGTTAAGGAAGTTGAATTGTCGAAGAATTTGACCCACCAAACTGAACCAGAGCATGTTATGGATACCAAGGATAAATAATTGAGGGATAAAACTATTTGACTTCTTAAAGTTGTTTGGAAAGGGATGACTCTTGGAGATGTCACATGGGAGACCAAGGAGTAAATAAAGCAATAGTACCCATATCTATTTTAATAGGTATACCTTGTTTTACTTTTCTATTAAGGTAATTCAATTTTGAGGAAAAAATTTTTTTTACGAGAGGAGAGTTGTAACATTTCAAAATTTTAATTGAAGGTTTGGAATAAATTAGAAATTAATTGGAATTAATGTGGGGTTAAGAGTTAGGGTTTAAAATTGAATTTAGGGAGAAAATGCAATTTTTAGCCTTTGACCACCTATAGATAAAGACATAATGTGTTATTACCACCTATGGATGGACCTTGCTGGAAATGGCTGTTTGTAACTTTCTCCTTATTACCCCAACATTTAGCCAAAACCTCTATGGTTAGTATGGATTAAACTATATGATTACCAAATCATAGTTATAGATTTTAACCAGTTATTAAAAGATTAACCATAGTAGGAAGAAAAAGACAAATTAAAGGTCTATTGTGGTTTAAAAAGTTTCAAAACAAGTATTAGAATACTCACTTTATAATCTAACAATAATTTCATTTGAAAATATAAACCTTTCAAAAGTTGGGATCCTAAGTTAATGAAAAAGCCTAATGCAAAAAAGATGCACGTTAGGTCCATAAAGCAATTCAAATGATTTTGATAATAGTAAGTTTAATCTATTTTACTGAGAAGGTCTACAGTTTGAGTTTGTATAGCCCTAATATTCTTACTAATACTACTAATGTTTCTATTTACTTGTTTACTTTAACTAATACTACTAAATAACTAAATATTAGTAGTAATCTAAATTCTTTCTTATACTTATAATAGAGAATATCTTAACTTAAATAGAA